CTTATTTCTTACTTATTTTTCTTTTAGTTTCTTAATTTTTGTTATTTATCATATTTTGTACTTTATTTAGTTCTTCTGTTACCATCCTTTTAATAATGTATTGCTTTTCTTGTATTATTTCTCTTGATTGACGAAATAATAAAGTGGGAAAAATGCATCAATAGGTACTTATTATGAATAAGGTTTTAACAAGAACCCGAAAAACATTTTATCATTATTGATTACAGCTTGCTTAAAAAATAAATAAATAAATAAAGTGTCAATTGTGAAGTCATCAATTATTTAGCAATACAAGTACAGTTACTGTGACCTATCTAATCATAAATCAATTACTCCATTTTGCACTGATGTAATTTAATTATTATAAAAGTATATCGCAAAGTTTTAAACTTTATATAATATATCTCTTAACTTAATTAAATGTAATATCCAGTCGTTCATAACTTGTAACGTTATATGTCATTTGAGCCCGTGGACGGTAATACGTTTATGAAAGTTTCGAACATTGTTGATGTTTCATCAATCATCCGCAGATCTTTAGAGACTAAATGGACTTTCGGTAACAATTCTCTTCTGATACTGAATTTGCTGGTAATTTTAGTTATATGAAAGCTTTTTTATAAAAATATAATTGAATTGAACAATAACGTTTTTTATATATTCATATTATATTGCCGATCATTATTATCTTTTTAAAACCATCTGTTTCATGTAGAAATATTTTGACTTTTAGTATAATATTGATACAAATTTCTAAACAATTTACAGGCAAAAGCTATATTGGTCTGCCAACCTTTCTCTATGAACTAACTATTTTTAATCTACTAAAACCCTCACATTTTTATATTATATATTTTTTGTTATAAATGGCGAACTAAACAGTTGTCCTATCTTCATTTGATTTATTATTACAATTTTTGTAATACTGATGATTTTTTATTAATGTAGCAATGCTGGTGAGGGCTATTTTTAGTTGATAACATATTATCATCTATAATTTCAAGTGGAAACCCGTTTCAATACTGCTAGACATCAGGTTGTCCGAGGCGTGTTTAGAACTTCTGATTTGGAGTCCATAGCCTCACTTTAGGAATAGGTCACAGGAAGCCTCCAAAACTACACATTTAAATACTATTGCGACTATATACACATCGGAATTTTTCCATTGATGTTTTTACGCAAATATGTAGATTTTTTTATATGCTTGTGAACACCTATCAGAAGCAGTTGTCAATATATAATTATATAAAATTATATATGTTGTCGTGATCATTGATAGTCGATTATGGTAAATTTTTACTTATTGTTGTTCTTTTCCTGTGTGATGAATTTTTAACTGTCTGCAATGATGCCCAAGAGGGCTATTCTTACTTGGAAATATATTTTTGATCTATATATTTGAGAAAGGCTTTGCCGTGGATTAATGGTTAGAGCTATGGGATTTCAGTCAGAAAATACTCGCCTCGGGCAGTCTGATCCGTTTTCTCTTATCAGAAATACAGCTAGCAATATGTTTTCAAATGAGAATTTTCCTTACCTGGTATTGCTGCATCAATAAAGAAATCAATCATCAATAATCGTCATCTGCATCTGCATCAATAATCAAATCTATAAAGATGGCATTTAAGTTAAAAGTAAATACATATGGTAACACTCGTGATGCGCACATATATATATATATATATATATATATATATATATACGAGGTCTGTTCAAAAAGTACCCGTAATTTTCGTTTTTTCAAAAAAATATTTATTTATTCGTCTACATTAATGTGGTCCCCTTCAAAGTAGTCCCCCCCAGATATAATACACTTATGCCAGCGTTTTTTCCAATTTTCGAAGCACCCTTGATATTCACTTTTTGATATGTCCTTGAGCACTCTCAGCGATTTTCTTCAATCGAGGAAAACCGCCGTCCTTTCATGGGTCTCTTCGACTTTCGGAATAGGAAAAAGTCACACGGAGCCATATGTGGTGAATTTTTGCACTTTGCAACACTTTATTTCATTTTTTACGCAAAATTTAATACAAATTCTTTGACTTTTCAATTCTTCCATTGTAAAAATCGCCGAGCTCAGAAAAACACGTCGAACCTTAGCGACTACCACAGACAAAGTAAACAGTGAATATAGCTGAAAATTTCATCATACTTTAGGGGCATGTATACCAACACAATAAAAAAAAAATTTTGACAATCAGACACTCCAGACCCGCGAAATTTAATTATTAGTAATTCCGGGTACTTTTTGAACACACCTCGTATATATATATATATATATATATATATATATATATATATATACTTATTTATATGATAATAAATCATCAAAAATAAAAAAGTTGAAAATTGTAAAAACTGGTAGCTGATGAAGTGGGTGGTCTCAAAAAATTAGCACCTCAGTCTTGACATGATTTAGGCCTCCTAGCCATCGGAAATGCAAAAAATAAAAAGATTATTAATCTACAATGATGTCGCAATCGCCCGAACGAGCGATGAGTAAAAAAAAATTTTTTTACAAATTGGCGACTGTTTGAAAAAAAAGTGCTTTATTTACTGTGTTTCTGGGTTTCTCGATTTTTTTAAAAATAGTAAAAATTGGAATTTGGCGATAATTCTAGTTAGGGCTATAGATAGGTCTATAAACAAGACTCTCTGAACATTTCAAGTGAATCGGTCGATTAAAACTCGAGAAATCGTGTCAACAGTACTGAAAAAGTCTGTTATGAGAAAAACGCATTTAAAGTTTCGCGTGAAGCCAAACCAGTATGGAGACCGAGTCAGTAAAATACCTATATCTCCGAAAATAATTCAAATTTTCAAAAACCTTCTCGTACCCATATTCTTAGATATGTAGTTAAACTTTGAAAATATGAAATAAATAAAAAATCGTTTTTTTTTAATTTCTACACTAGAATACCCCCTTAAATTCTGATCGCTATTAAAAAAAGTGAAAATCTATATAGCTACTGCGTGGTATCAGGTTGCACGCATGGCGGAACCTAAAGAAGTTACCAATTGCATCACGTGCTGCCCATGTAGAAAATTCGAAAGTATTTCCACAAATTATGAAGAGTTCTTTATGTATTTATTTTTTTATTTATAGCCAGTACCAAATGTTAATGTTTTATTATATTTTCAGTATCTGTTTCAATACAACTATTCAAAATGTCTTCATGTAAATAAACTTTATTTCAATACTAATTAATTAGAAATTTCTCTTAATATAAATATTTGATAGTGCTATTTTAATTGATGACGCGTATGCGTATTTGTATATTTACGCGATTATCGAGATGAAACTGCATCAATTATTACCAGATTTGTTACAGCAGCAATTGTAAATTTCTACTAATTATTAATGAGAGCATATCATTAACACTGACAGATTAGTTCTGTGTAAATGATTCCATCATAACAGCCGTATATGTAAATTGGATACATCATCATGAATCTGTAATGGCGTATTAAAATTATAATTGCAACAGCTAAGGGGAACGCTGATTCTGTAAACTTCATTTCCATATATGTATACAATTTCCAAGTCCGAAATTTTGCTTCAGACCTAATAATAATTCTGTGAATTATTATTCATGTCGGGGTTTGCATTCTATGAATGCAAAATTTGATTTATATTTTTGAAAGGTCAACAGTTCGCTTTCTACCGTCATTATATTTTGGCAAAAAAAAACAAATATCTAAAATTACTGGTTTTATTTGTCCTAACTTTGTCAATGAAGTTTATTGAATTTAGCTTTGCTTCAAGGGGGTATTCTTGTTAAAAAAAATTGATTCTGTTTCGTTTTTTTGATATTGTCAAAGTTTAATTATTCTAGAACATGTGTACAAGAAGGTTTTTAAGAATTCCAAATATTTTAAGAAGCATAGCTATTCGCAACGGTAAACTGCTTCTGCTTCCTTCTTCCACGAAACGTGTTTTTCTCGAAAATATCTTTCTCGATACGATAAGATACGATACCCACAATTTCTCATCTTTTACTAAACCGATTTTCTTGAATTTTTCTGATAAGAAGTGTAATTTCTTAATTACACTTCTTATCAGTTTGTACTACGTTCATCCCCAAATTCAGATGTTTTTATTTATGTTTTTAATTTATATTATTTTTTTTAAAAAAAAGAATATCAAAAGAAGTTGTAAAAAAATTTTTTTCAGAGAATCGTTATTTTGTAACAAAACATTTTTTTCAACTTGACCTTAGCTATACGTTTGTTATATTGTTTATATTTCAATCGTAAATATTCACGTAAACAATTTTTTTTAGCAAGATTCTGAAATTCGTATATATACGAGTATATATATATATATATATATATATATATATATATCTGTAAAATAATTTCAGACAATTCTAAAATGTGATTTTTTATTTTACCCAAAATCCGTACGTTTTGTAAAAGATGACCCATATTAGAAATACGATTTGGCTTTTTTACTGTCTGCCTCTAGACCACTAACAAGTGAAGTTTATTTAATTTTTTCGGTACGATTTTTTGCAATATACTGTGGAAAACACCAAAGGTTTCCGGTATTCCGGATATTTTTACAGATAAATTTTGGTTTGATTTAATTCAACTTTGCTATATACCTGCTGATCGATGATGCATGTTGATTTTTTAAAAATATACAAAGGCAAACGCCATAGATTTTTAGTTTTTTTATAAATATGGCTTTGATTTAACCAAACTCTGCTAATATACTATATAATACTAATATACTAATATTAATATATAATATACTAATCAATAACTTATTCAATTTTTTAAAATGCGTCCGACGACAAAATTCAGTCCTGAACAAAATTCCTCACTGGACATTAATAACAAGCCGGTACCGTTATTTGGAACCGTATAAATACGAGACTCCTGAGATTCAGGGTCTCTTTTACCTCAGTCAGTCATGGCATACGAACCTTATAAATAAATACCATCTGTCAACCAATTTTGGACCACAATAAAATTATACAAATATAAACACCGTTTTATTATCCGCTTTATGCATAATGAAAGGCCAGTTAAAGGCCAAGCAAAATTTATCAAAATCCAAGTAACTATTCGATGAGATGACTATACAACAGAATTTTCGTAGGTATATATAGTAGCTGATAAAATATTATCAAATGGTTGAAATTGTAATTTTTTGTGAAGTATTGTTATGTTACGAAGAATTATCAAACACTATTTTACTGTCTTATAGCCTTTGTGCAAAGAAAAGAATCGTAGAAGAAAAAAATAATCCAATATTTTTTATAGATTTATTTTTGTATTATATTTTTTTTGAATAGGTAAACAATTTTGACCATTTTTTGTAATTTTTACTAAAATCATTATTCATCACAATATCTTTCATACAAAAAATTGGTCAAAATTAAAATATTTTGCCTTTCATTGATTTTTTGTTTGCAATTATATTGGATTAAGGATTATTCAAAGCAGAAATTGCAATGTATTACGGTAGAAAATAATTATCAGAATTTTCTAGTTCCATAATCACATTTATCTTCATTTCCTCGAACTTATCATTAATAGATTGAATCTAAAATCGTCAAGTGAAATTCAAAGTTTGATAATTTGTTGTTTGAAAGTGATTGATTATTAAAGCGAAGACTTTAGATGGATTTCATTAAAGCTTTCATGCAAATTACCTTTCAAATCCCAATACCTTTGATTTGCTTGAACTTTTGAGTTTTCAATAATAAGAAAACGCTTTATTTTAACGTATAATCGAGTATTACATCTTTAATGGAAAAGTATGAAATACAGCAAATGATCGAATAAGGAGAGATATTATTGTCATGACAAAAATGCTTAATAACTGCAATACTATTTTTATTATTATATTAATAATGTTTTTATTTGGAGGATTGAAGTCTGATCGTGGAATTAAAGATCTTGATATGTTATCTTGATAATTTTACGTTTTTCTATTAATTAATATAAGTTTTACTTTACTGAGATAACCATTTAAAATCCAATACCCTGCGCAAGGATGACACTCAAATCGTAAATCGTACAATTAAATGCATTGTTTTGACTTTATTATATGGATTTTTGAATGAATGGCAGCTCAGTAGTTGTCTAATCCAATTATGACTAATTAACTATACTCTGTATTTGTTGACATTTTCACTTGAGGCTATATTTGAAATGTATAACAATTGCATCATTTTAATTACCACATGTCTAATATGAGGCAGATGGTAATTTATATTAGAAAAAAAATCTGACCTTTTGCTATTGATTTACAACGATACATAATTATGTACATTTTTTCCTTTGAAACTTGGTATAGTGATAATTATATAAGATTTTGAATAAATTATAGTGTACTTGATTATGAGTACAAGCAGTTCCAATTTGCTTTTATTTAGTGCCCTTTTATTTTATCAAGGTTTGGTAAGATTTTATCTTTTACATTGAAAATATTTTTAGATTCTATAGAATTATGATTCAATGTAACACTCATAATAAATTTCTATTTTTATTTCAATTCAGGTCCCGTCGGTCATCGAACAATGCTCCGTTACCACGACTCAACCCAAACGATGAGTCCTACATCAGGTTGGCCGCGGATACGGCTGAAGAACTTGACTGGTGTCTGGACCAACTCGAAACTATCCAGACACATCGCAGTGTTTCTGATATGGCATCACTTAAGGTAAGATTTTATACATTATTATTGTCGAAAAAACCCATGGAATAAATGACTTCAGAATTAGCCTAGAGAAAATTTATAAGGAATTATTAATGGTAACCGACATGTCGTTGTTTTGGTTAGATAGTATTTACGATTACAACAACGGTAATATTGTTATTACTAATTGTGGTATATTTGGTGAACGCGTGTTGTTACTACGTTAAATATTAAAATTAATCCAGCGACAAAATTCAGCCCTGAATAGAATTTATCACTGAGGTTCAGGGTCTCTTCCACCTCAGGCAGTCATGGCATAAGGACCTTATCAATAAATACCAAATCTGTCGTTGTTTTGGTTAGATAGCATTTACTATATTTTCAAAATGGTAATGTTGTTATTACTAATTGTAGTATATTTGGTGATAGCGTGTTGTCACTACGTTAAATATATCTTACAGTATATTAATACTTAATTGCGTATAGATAAAGGTTGCAATCTTAGGATTATTGTCTAATGGATACCCCGTTGCACCCCAATGGCTGCAAAACGATTGTTAGGACGACTGATTGTTTCATATACTATTTTTTACTTCGAATTTTGATTGTTCTTATTGGTCAAATGATATCGATTATTAATCATTTACTAGGCCAAACATATTTTGTTATAAACTATTTTGTCAAATAGTATAATCGCAGTCAGAAGCGACAAAAATCTATGTGTTCATTAATATTTTTCTCAAACTTTTTTAATGTTAATGGAGTAAATTACAGTGAAAAAGTCCAACGAAACTAATAGCTCAAAGATCGAAACAAATAGAGAATAATTTTCAAAAATTTCGATAAATCAATTAGGAAGGAATTGTGAATAAAAAATATTGCTGGGCTTCTATCTTGGTACACCTTCTACCTTGGCGTGCCAAGGTAGAAGCCCAGCAATCTTTTTTTAATTGACAATTCTTTCCTGATTGATAAATCGATTTTTTAAATTTATTCTCCATTAGTTTCGCTCTTCGAACTATTGCTCTTGTTGGATTTTGCACTGTAACTTACTCCACGATTGAAGTTTCTTCTTCAGTCTATCAGATTTAGATGAGAATTTTAATGCAATACTATCTTATGTTTTTATTTTAAGAGGCCAATTCTTGGATAAGATAGAAATGTTATGGATATGTTACTTCACAGGTCTATCTTTGTATGAGTTGGTAGTAACGAACGTAGTTTGTTTTATGTGTAAAAAGCCTAATCGCGCAGCAAATACATACATTAACAGTTGGTCACTACCAACTCATAAGAATATAGACCCACAACATCTTAATTCTATTCGAGAATTGGCTTTTAAGGTTAGCTTCTTCCTATATTGTTAAATTGGTACTTGCTATTTCGATAGTTCCATGGTACTTATTTCAAATAATCTAACTTAAATTCAGAATATCTGAAATAAAACATCGTATTTTATTTCTCATTTACTTTGTCCCATTACATAAATCCGCTATATAAATAGTGCAATTGGACGACGCAGTGTACTGTATTGGATTGTCTGCTTTATTCTTCATAGTAATCAGAATCAAATGTCACATTGCAAAAACCAATATACGAGTATCATTACAAATCCACTTTTGAAATAGAATACAATTATGGATAAACTTCACAATGTTCAATTTCTTGCAGACAACGTAATTTATTAGCCGCCGATATTAGATATATGAATAATTTATTGAAACTTAAGCATCTAAGAGTGCCAAAGATTAATTTTTATTAGACTATTACAGATTTATGAGTTGGTATTAATATTGGCAATACCATTACTTACAGCTTGTAATAAAAATATTTTTCGGACGAATATAAAACTCATTTTTCAAAAAAATATATAATATATTACAACCGCGGTTTGTATATTCAATACCCACATCACCAGCTTGAATTACACTATATATATTTATATATTATTATATATATATATATATATATATAGATATATATATATTATAAATAGTTTTTTACTTGAAATTATAGATATAAAATCTCTATTAAAATAAGTCTGATAATTTGATGGTTTCAAATTGAATAAAAAACAATTCTATGAAAGTTTTAGCTCTTA